AGGTTGGCATTTTAAGCTCACCAACTGCTCCTTGGAAACCCTATACAGGGTCTCCAAGTCACTTAAAAACAAAAACTCCTCTCCCTTAGGGGTCTCTTGATCTAGAAAGCCACAGGAACCCTTTGTTCAGGGTCAGTACACCCACATCTTCCTTAACCCACCTGACTCTCACCTGGATGCCAATTTGGAGACATGTGGAGCAGGGGCGTCAGTACTCCTTGTCAGGTATCTCTGGCTTTTATGATCACAGTAAAGACTTGATTGAAGTCTTGACTGTTACTATCATTTTGGCTTCTTCTCTTACTCAGCGTTTGGACCGCTTACAGCTCAGTTCAGCCCTCTCAGGTCAGTCCTTTGCTATTGAAAATGTTTCAGCTCCATAATAGGAGGAGAGTTCATGAGGATTTATTATTATATTTGTTGTTGTTGTTAAGGCCTAGCCAGTCTATTCCAACCCATAGTGACCCTGTATAGGGTTTCTGAAGAGTGGTTGTTTAGCTTGAACCAATGACCTTGTGGTTCAAACTGACTTTACATCTCAGCACCTTAACCCACAGCATCACACCAGGACAGGGAATTCACCTTAAAATGTCTTCATAACAAGAATATTGGTGATATTAAGGGCCATTAAGTAGGTTCCAACTCAAAGCAATCCTTTGTACAATTTCCAAGGAGCGCTGGTAACTTTGAACCAACAACTTTGTCATTCAAACTGACCTTGTGGTCCAGTGCTTATCTTACATCATCACACAAGATGCAAAAATATGTAAATAATAAAGAAAGACAATAAACATTGAGCTGGTCATGGAAAGCACAATTTATTGAACTGATGTGGGGTGTGGTTTCCCACTAAAGGTAGAGAAGGGCGCTGGGAGGCAGGATTTTCTCTGATATGATGGGCAGGGAGAATCCAGATGATTCTGCCACATTCCCTCCTTAGTGTTCTGGGGCTCAATGAGCATATTTTCCAACAATGCAATGCATATCACCTCGGAGAAAACTGTGATTTCTTCTAAGAGGGTTTCTGGAATGGACCCATTTCACAACAAGTGGCTAGTGTGGAGACATGTGTTCAGCAGCAAGCAGGACTGCCACAGGTGATGGGTTTGCAGAGAAGAGTGGAGCAGGAGGGCTGGCAGCTGTCAGAAGACTGGCAGGAGGAGGCCATACACATAGTGGGCTGGCAGCTCATGGACATGCACACAACTGGCTTATAGCTGACGGGCACACACACAGCAGGTTTGCAGCTGACGGGCACACACACAGCGGGTTTGCAGCTCACGGGCACACACACAGCAGGTTTGCAGCTCATGGGCACACACACAGCGGGCTTGCAACTCACGGGCACACAGCTGGCTGCCTGGCAGGAGCTGGGCACACAGCAAGCCAAGCTGCAGGAGGAGGGGCAGCACGGACACTGGGAGCCACCAGAACAGCAGCTGGCAGCCCCACAAGGTGACTGGCTGGACATGGGTTGGCACAGCAGGGTCATACAGGAGGATGGTGGGCTGCAGCTGGAGCTCATGGAGCACGAGGGTGAGCAGCTGGTGGTGGGAACACAGCACAGGGATGAGCAGCTGGCCGGCTGGCAGCCTGAGGAGCAGCAGGTGTGGCACATGGTGGGTGTGTGGCTGGAGCTGGTTTCAGAGAGGAGGTGGGGGCAGGCCTGCTGGCTACTTCTGCTGAACGGCCTTTATAGTCCTGGCACACAGGCATCCACGCAACACACAAGCACAACTATTGCTTTCCTTGTTTTTGCTTCCTCCAGGCTGTCTCCCAGGATCTTATATTTTTCTGTTGTGGAATTTTCTGTTTTGGCATCAGCTTCATAACTAATTACATCCTCTTTACATTCTTGTTTCAATTGAAATTCTGCCCATCCGTCTTACTGGCTCTGTGTGGATTCTGTCTCACTCCTTAACATTCCCCCTGTGCTACTTTTAGATCCTTCTAAAAACAAGGATCTCCAGATTTACTTCTATCTCCATATCTTCAAACAACTACAAATAATAAACTCTTCCTAAGGACCAGGAGTCCTGGTGTGATGCCTTAGGAAAAGCACTCCACCTCAATGTCAGTTTGAACCACAGGTCTGCAGTTCACACTCACCAGTTGCTCCTTGGAAACCCTATAGTGAGTTGCAATCAGTTGGACCCGACTCCACTGCATTTAACAGCAACAGCAAGTGCCAGGAGGAGTTCTGGTGTCACACTGTAAGATAAGCAATGCACTGACAACCATAACATTGGTGGCTCAAACCCACCAGAAGTTCCTTGAAATCCTATACATGGTCACTATGAGTTGGAACCAACTCGATGACACTTTATAATGACAAGAATAACAAATGCTAGAAAGGGTCCATGGTAAATGAAGGAGAATAAAGGACTGTTTTCTGGTCTTTATGTTTCCCTAAACTGGAAGATGGAGTTGATAACTGACTGACACGAGAGAGGGTAGAGACGATAAGTGAAGAATGAAGGATGGTGGTCTTGGAGGACTCCTTTTTTGTACCCTGGTCTTCAAAGAGCTCCTAGTAGGGGAATCAACATCTTTGGACATCCTCAAAGAAAGCAAGACTCTTGCTATTCAGGGCTCTGAGTTGGGCCATGCATGTGAACAAGGAGGTGTGTGGAGTGCCAGGGTAAATGGAAGGTCACCCTATCTGCTGGGGAGCTGTGATGGGAGAGACTAGAGCTCGGTAATGAAGAACCAAATAAAACAAGTAGTTATTGATCAAATAACTGGTGCCAGACTAGCCTTCTAGTCAACTGCACAATTGTAAAGAATTTTCTAGTAAATATTTTAACACAGTCATGAACAATCAATATGAGACTTTAATTTCAGAAAGAAGGAAAACTCAAATTAACTCCCCAAATGCAGTGTAGTGATCAAGAATCTAAGAAGAACATAATACACCTGCCCTGTGGAGGAGAAAGATGCTTTGGGGTAGTTAGTGCATCTGTAATCTGTGAGCTGTTCCCATACCTCTAGGGCAGGGTTCCTGTAAATCTATGAAAGAAGATGGAATCGTACAAGTTTAGAGCAAGACTGTTGTTGTTATGTGCTGTGGAGTTGGTTCTCCCTCATAGCGACCCTGTAAAGGGTTTCCGAGGAGGTAAATCTTTATGGGAGCAGTAAGCCTCATCTTTCTTCCATGGAATGGCTAGTAGTTTCGAACTGCTGACCTTGAGGTAAGCAGACCAATTCTTAACCGCTACACTACCAGAGATCCTCAGAGCAAGACTACTGAGGCTTAATCAGATAGAAGTTAGTACTATAGAAATTGAGAGAAGAATCCCAGTGATAACCAGCAACTGATTACACACCATACAACTGCTTGCAACTCTGTATAGGGTTTCCAAGGAGCAGCCAGTGAGTGTGAATTACCGACCTGTGACTAAAACCGACCTTGAGCTGGAGTGCTTATCCTAAAGAACCACACTAGGACTCCTGGCACTTAGGAAGAGTTTATGATTTGTTGTTGGAAGATGTGGAGGTAGGAGAATTGAATCTGGAGATCCATGATTTTGGAAGGATGTAAAAGTAGCACAGGTGGAATGTTAAGGAATGAAGTAGAATCAGACACTGCTGGCAAGATGGATGGGCAGAATTTCTGTTGAAACAAGAATGTGAAGAGGATGTAATTAGTTATGAAGGTGATGCCAAAACAGAAAATTCCACAACAGAAAAATAAGATCCTGGTAGACAGCCCACAGGAAATACAAACAAGGAAAGGGATAGTTGTGCTTGTGTGTTGCGTGGATGCCTGTGTGCCAGGACTATAAAGGCCATTCAGCAGAAGTAGCCAGCAGACCTGCTCCCACCTCCTCTCTGAAACCAGCTCCAGCCACACATCCACCATGTGCCACACCTGCTGCTCCTCAGGCTGCCAGTCGGCCAGCTGCTCACCCCTGTGCTGTGTCCCCACCACCAGCTGCTCACCCTCGTGCTCCATGAGCTCCAGCTGCAGCCCACCATCCTCCTGTATGACCCTGCTGTGCCAACCCATGTCCAGCCAGTCACCTTGTGGGGCTGCCAGCTGCTGTTCTGGTGGCTCCCAGTGTCCGTGTTGCCCCTCCTCCTGCAGCTTGGCTTGCTGTGTGCCCAGCTCCTGCCAGACAGTCAGCTGTATGTCTGTGAGCTGCAAGCCCGCTGTGTGTGTGCCCGTGAGTTGCAAGCCCGCTGTGTGTGTACCCGTGAGTTGTAAGCCTGCTATGTGTGTGCCCATGAGCTGCAAACCTGCTGTGTGTGTTCCCGTCAGCTGCAAGCCAGTTGTGTGCATGTCCATGAGCTGCCAGCCCACTATGTGTGTGGCCCCCTCCTGCCAATCTTCTGACAGCTGCCAGCCCCCCTGCTCCACTCTTCTCTGCAAACCCATCACCTGTGGCAGCCCTGCTTGCTGCTGAACACATGTCTCCACACTAGCCACTTGTTGTGTGAAATGAGTCCATTCCGGAAACCATCTTAGAAAAAAATCAGTTTTCTTCCCGGTGATATGCATTGGATTGTTGGAAAATATGTTCCTTAAGCCCTGGAACTCTCAGGAGGGAACATGGCAGAATATCTGGGTCCCTCCCTGCACATCGTCTCAGGGAAAATCTTGTCTTGCAGCACCCTTTTCTGACTCTAGTGGGAAACCATACCCCCACATGAGTCCAATAAATTGTGCTTTCCCTGTCCAGCTCTCTGTCTCTTTTCTTTTTATTTCCATGGTTTTGTATGTCTATTTTGGGGGAACTTGGTGGCTTCATATGACAAGTACTGGAGTTTGAACCACAGTGTATGCTGTTTGAGCCCACCAGCCACTCTGTGGGAGAAAGATGAGGCTTTCTCTTCCCCCAAAGATTTTAAAAGCCTTGGAAACCCTATACAAAGTCTCTATCAATCAGAATTGACTTGAAGACTCATAACAACAGCAATAATTTTTGCTATGATAATGTCCTTGTGTAGTCCTGTGTGATAACTACTGGATTATTAATTAAAAGTAACTGGTTCAAATACAGTAGCTGCTCCTTAGCAATCCCATACAGGTTCATTTTAAGTTGGTACTGATGCAACAAAACTTAACAACAAAAACAAGAATAACAATTCTTGTTATGAAGGCATTTTATGGTGAATTCTGCCTTCAGCCATACCTTTTTGCATTGACTCACAGAGAGGTAAATGGTCTTTTGTTGGGGCAGAAGTTAGCTCTCAACCACAGACACCTCCTCTCTTCACATTGTTTTTGTTGTCAGGTGCCATCGTGTCGGACCGTCCCATAGCAACCTTATGTACAGCAGAATGAAACATTGCCCGATTCTGGGCCAACCTCACTACTGTTGCCATGCTTGAGTCCATCGAGCTGCCACTTGGCCAACCCATCTTGTTGGGGGTCTTCCTCTTTTTCTCTGACCCTCCACCTTACCAAACATGATATCCTTCTCCAGTGACTGGTCCCTCCTGACAATA